ACTTCATGAGGCCCGGAGAGTACAGGAGGTTCAGCGACTGGGGAGGCATGAGCCCCAGGATCGGCTCCTTCCGGCGCCTCATGGACTTCTGTTAATCAGAACATGTCATTCACAATTGAAAATGAAACTGTTCTGGTGTAAAAATAAAACCTTTTAAACAAAAACATCAGTGGTCTCTGCTATCTAAGTTTATTAATTTAATTTATTATATACAGTAACGTTTCTTTTTCCTTTTAACATAATAGAAAGAATTCTTTCACAGTGAAGTGAATGGAGTACCAGCTGAGCTGCTTTTTGGTGACAATAGATATGACACCTGGGATGTTCAGGAAATATTGAAACAGTGAAGCATTAAACCTCCTTCGCTGCTTGACTGTAAATCAGATTCCTCAGGCAAAATGGGCTGCCTGGGATTAGTTTTCAGGTGTGTGGCAAATACTATAGCTTTTCTCGTGACTTGTCAAGCGCCTGCAGGTTTTCAGAGTCTCCAGGGAGAGACATGCTAGTCAGCACCTACTACATGCTACTCAGGCACAGAGGAGCTGACGATGTGTTAAATAGTTTTGAGGTTGGGGGGTGAGGTTTTAAAGAAGCACATCTAAATGTTCTGAGCAGTACAGGAGATGCAGCCATAACTCTGAGACATGTGCAACTGGCAGGTCCGCACTGGGAGGTAAAACACTTCTTTTAACAAATTCCTTTGGTAACTCCAAATGGAAAAGTTTCCATTTTAAGTAAAAGTCTGAGACAGAGGGGGTCCCTCGTGGAAGAAGAATGGTCATTCTCATTTTAAGCATGCAGACAGAGAAAGACTCTGAAGGCAGATGAGAATGATGAGAAAAAACTTTGTCAAAACACAAGAGATATACTGTAAGAAAGACAAACACCACAGTCCATATGCACCAATCTCCCTGAATAAATGTGTTTTTTAAATTGTATTGGACAGTAAAGCATTGCAGACTGAATAGAAATCTAATTATGAGTGACCAAAGTTGTAAAGTCTTATCAACTACGTTCCATTACTGTGTAGGCTATGTGTAGGTTGATTAAAAACTGTACCCTAATCAAGTGGGTTTCTGACAATAGATGGAATCTCCAATATCAATACTGCTGTCTCTACAAGCAAACTTGAAATTTGGACAGGCTTCTGAAACTCCAGCTCGCAGAGCATGAGCCTGATAGACTGACAGGCTTTTTGACATTGGATGTGCCTGATTTTACTGACACCCGAAGAAAGCTCCATAGTCGAAACTTTGTTTCTTTTCTTTTCTTTTTAGCATGGAATAAACCTTTCCTTGTCCCTTCAAAGTTTTTTTTTTAATCACCATAATCAAAATGTGCACTGTTTCAAATTAGTCTAACAAAATTATTTTTTTTATTCTTGCAAAAAATAATCTGGTGTGTAGAAAATACTGTTTTTGACTAAAACAATCCTTGATATATTTATTAGCAAATATACTCTTTAATGTATTTTAAACTATGAAATTTTCCACTGACTTATTATTAAAAAGCACATATTTACTGCATAGGTATTTACTTTTTTTTAAGGAGGAACCAAAACAAACCAGACAGGATTCAGTTTCTAGGGAAAACCTGTGAAATACAAATGACAGAAGGCAGAAAAATGGAACTGTGCAGAGCAGCCCTCCTGTCTCAGTCACAATCTGCTTGAATCGCATTCATTTTATTGCGTTTCAGCAAGATGTTTTTGGAGGATAATGTAGATGCCTCTGCATACATGTTTTTTCAAATAAATAACACAAGACACCTGCATTACGTCAAGACCAGTCTTTTGTTATTTAATGATGTACATTAATTTTATTTTCAATTATGAAGTTAGTGTGTAGCATTTGTGGGTGTAAGAGTGGGCAGGTAGGGTGTGTGGATCCTGTGCAAGACTCAGGAGAGAGAGAGAGAGATCACCAATCCAGATCACTAAGCAAAAAGTAAAGCAGGAAGCAGGCGGGAAAGACGACGACAGAGCAACCATCCAAAACGCAAGACGAAGTCGAAAACGAGGGGCAGGGTAGAAGATCAAATACAGAAATGAAGGCTAGTAAGGAAATAAAGCGCACTTGAGAGCTCTAGGAGAATCCGCACTAGCGAGCGGGGGAGTGAGGAAAGAGTGGAAGTAAACTAGGGACGGGACTGAACGGTGGTATGTAGGTGTGGTACTTCCGGCGTGAGCGTTTGTCAAACGAGGCGCGCGTGGGAATGCGAGACGGGACAGAGACGCGTGTGGAATGCGTAACAGTGGGTCAGTATTGTGCATTTTTTTTTAAATAAGATCCTTTCTCTACAGCATGTTATGGTCTTCATAAGGCAAATAAAAAGCAATACAAATTTACTGAACATTTGAGTCTTTGCTTAAATATTATGGGCTATGAAAATATATATATATATTTTTACCGCTAAGAGCATTGGTATTTCTATACGTTAAAAAATGAAACCTGAACCAGAAGCTGGATTTTTTTGTACAAAGCTGAACCAACCTAAAGTATCTAAAACTGCACATCCTTGACCACGGTTGTGATCATCTGTCCTTGACAATGCCAATGATGGCTGGCCATGTGCAGCATCGGTCGAGCACAGCAGTTAAAAGCACGGATAAAAGGTTGATTTACAAGGACCTCGACAACGCCAGCTGAAAGTCCTCTCCAGCTCAAGGCGGCGTGTGCGACCCATGTCACGTCACGCACACAGTAAACATGTAAAAAATGGTAAAGTGCCGCAACACACATCCTGCAGGGTGACATGATCCATGACCTTTGTATTGGATTACTCAGCTACAAATGAGTAAATGCAGTACTATGGGACCTCTGGTGGTCTTTTATTGATCAAAATTCCCTTGTATACTCTGTATGATTAGTTGGTAAAAATGCAACAAGGGCTATTGGTTACAATACTCACTTGTTTTTTTTAACTCTTCTCCCTATGCACGTACAGCATTTAGTGAGAAAGGATTTGTACATATACTGTAGATCATTTCTGCACAGCAAAGATGTCCAAGGCCTGATGAAACATGCATTGAGCAAATAAGATCACTTTATTAGCCATACACAATTTCTTGCATTAGGAATTCATCTTTTCACATACCCCAGCTTGCTCTCCATAAGACACAGACACACAGACTGGGAGAGACGTTTTGGGGTCAGAGCACAGGGTCAGCCATTGTACAACACCCCTGGAGCAGTTGGGGTGAAGGGTCTTGCTCAGGGGCCCAACAAAGTAGGATTCCTCTGCCAACCATGGGATTTGAACCGGCAACCTTCCAGCCACAGGCACAGATCCTTAGCCACAGTGCTACCACTCCGCTCTTTATATATAAATATAACATGTTAGTGTGAAAATGCATGAACAGTACAGAGGTTCTTGACTTCTCGACACCTATAGGATTGTAGTACAATCCTACAGTACATTGTTGTCAGAGACAGTGTGCAGTAGGTGCAATCGTGCACACTAAGGAAAATTCCATAGCCGTAGTGTGAATTCACAGAACAAAAGGACAATCCTGGTTGAGAATATACCCTCTTTTAATCAACACAATAGCAAATCTGTACAATTTAGCTCCTTTGGCGTAATACAATAGCATTCACACAGAAAAAGAAGCAACAATAGGACAGTTTAAGTTAACATAACAGACATGCTGACTGAACAGAAATGTATAGTATTCATACATTCTTCGTGCTGGGTATATAAGGGGACAGGAGTCACACCACTGACACTGACCACTGACACAGACATCACCATGGGAAAGGTACAGAGCATCTGTGTTTCAAACGCTAGTCTCATGTGACTAGAAAGGCACATTACCAATGATATGTTTCTGTTTATCTATTTCCCAGATCATCTTCTACGAGGACAGGAACTTCGGGGGGCGCTCCTATGAGTGCAGCAGCGACTGCGCCGACATGCACTCCTACTTCAGCCGCTGCAACTCCATCCGAGTGGAGAGCGGCTGCTGGATGGCGTACGAGCGCCCCAACTACATGGGCTACCAGTACTTCCTGCGCAGGGGCGAGTATCCCGACTACCAGCGCTGGATGGGCTTCAACGACTCCATCAGGTCCTGCAGGATGATCCCCCATGTAAGTTTCTTTATAATACTCCAAGAACAGACAGAAGGTTGTCGGTTTACTGAATATTATAAAAAAAAGAATAGCAGTCACTACAATGAACAGTTCTGCACATTACAAGGAAGAGCCTGCTGTCTCCAAACAAATCCTTTGCTCCCTGTTTTGATTATCTGTGTAGTGTTATCAGTCATGGGATTGGTATTATGGTTAGATATTTTGATGAAAACAAATTTTGATTTAATCTTTGGGGCTTCAGCAAAGTTCTAGCCTGATCCTGGATGAATTTGTCTTTGTGAGCACTGGCCCCCAAATCTGAACTTAAAACACAACTAAAACCTTCCCTTTCATCCACTAAGAGATGTTTATTTATTAAAAAGTCAATTTAACAATAAAATATGATACAAAAAAATAAAGCCATACAACAAGTGCTGAAGTGATTAAAAGTGATTATCTCTGAGCTTTGAAAAAGAAGGAGAAGAAACAAAGTTATAGAAATGGACATATTCGGCAAGAACTTCAAAGGCAGCTAATGCACTGAGCAAGTCACACTGTTGCCATGAAACATTCTACAGAAAATATAGGATCACATATACATTCAAGCTGTTATTCAGCAAGCTATAGAACAAAAAGAGTCAATCTGATTTAAAAAGCTTAGCTCACTACGTTTGTGCTTCTAAGAATATATTGAGTCATTTGTCTCAAGGATAATGTGATGTTACAAAGAATAAATGGTCCGGATATTTTTTGCCTATACAGCCATACATGGACAGCCTTTGCCTTTTTTGCTATTGTAACGTTTTTTTGAGTTTCCACCCTTGCCGCTCCTGCTGTCATGCAACACGGAACTTGCTGGCTGAGCTAAAGGAGACCCCGGGCGGCTGAGATCCCTGTTATACGCAGGGGCGTCGTCGTTACACTATGAACTAACTTGTCACAGAATATTAATGGAAATCCTTAAGTTCAAACTACATCACAGAATGTCTCCTGTTTTTGCAGTACCAAGGCTCCTACAGGATGAGGATCTACGAGAGAGAAGGCTTCGGGGGCCAGATGATGGAGTTCATGGACGACTGCGAGTCTGTGTACGACCGCTTCCGTTACCATGACATCCACTCCTGCAATGTGATGGAGGGATACTGGATGTTCTATGAGCAGCCCAACTACAGAGGCAGGCAGTACTTCATGAGGCCCGGAGAGTACAGGAGGTTCAGCGACTGGGGAGGCATGAGCCCCAGGATCGGCTCCTTCCGGCGCCTCATGGACTTCTGTTAAATCCGAAACACTCCTTGATGTGTCCTAGTTGTATGGGATAATAAAAAAGAGACTAATTACACATTTCTCTGTGTTTTTTAAATCATACAAATGTTCAAATGTATTGAAAACATTTCACATTTCAACAGATAGTACTTCATCTTTCCTCTTTTCTATTTAGCACTCATCAACACACTCATCAGCCTTGTCACATAATACCTACAGGGAGAAGATGCTAATACAGGTTTGTACAAATCATCTTAAATTAAAACTCACTTGACCTGTTCTGACATGGCATTGTGTTGGTCCGGGTTATCCAGTAACAGTCCTGTTGAGAGATACGTCTACAGCTTACAGCTACTTATACAGGTAGTGCTATCACAAGTGTTATAGAAATGATTTACCATAGTAGCTAATACTCCTTCAGTGGTATTGCAATTGATTGTATGTTAACTCCTGCAATTTTACTATCAGAACTTCCGCACTTGGTACTAGTCTTGCTATTACCACTGTTACTACAGAATAATTACAGAGGCTGCCGCCACTACACTCTCTATTACTAACATTTCTCCTTCCTGTTCCAAATGTTATTAAAAGTATCAGTATTTCAAATGCTAACACACAGCAGTGGAAGAAAAGAAAATGTTGTTGTTCTAGAGTGGTGCACAGGGTAATTAATACTTTATTTTACATGTGTAGCATTGGTGCCTAGATGCTGTGCGACAAGAGCTTCCCATTAGCTTGGGACGTTCTGAACTCTAGGCAACTGAAAGGGAAACTCATAGGTCTGATGTACTTGTCTTCGTTTGTTTCTGTTTGTGGGTAACCAGCCGGCGACAGATCTGAGTTCACAGATACTAAGAGTCCAGTGTGAAACGAGAACTGTAATAAGTTTAAGGTTCAGAGGCTAATGCTTAATAGGTTTTCTGATTAGTAAAGTGTCCGCAAGGTACATGCTACATGATCCTACATACCTCATAGGCCAGATACAGAATTGCAAATTAAAATCTTAACCTGTCTCTTAGTTCTTCTTCACTTCATTTTGATGATTCTCCTTCATAAAACACTGACTTTAAAACCCATTTTACATACCACAGAGGCAAATGAATGCTTTGAGGTGGGTCGTTTTTGAACATATGTCTCTTTTTAATGGGAACAGTGGTATACAAAGGGTTCGAGAATAGTTAAACATTTTTTAAATGTCTGAGATAGACGAGTAGCTCATAACTTAAAATCTGGAACAAGAAAAGTGGAAAATTTGAAAACTTTTTCAGAACATCTGTCACACAAGATTCTTCTGTTCACATGTTGGTTCCTTCTGCATATTTGAAATAAATATTACCTTCGCCCCTGCATGCATGTGTTTCAGCAATCAGACAGTTACAGTATCTGTACCTTTCCAGATTGGCAGCATGTGAATAAATAAACGTACACATAAACAGCTTATCAATTAGTGAACTAAGTGACATCGTCTGTGGCCTTTGTGTAAGAGACAAAGAGGTACTGCGCTCTGCTGACAAGGAGCGCTAATATCTTTTGTTGTTTGGCAGCAGTACATTCTTTTCAAATAGCTGACATGTAAAGTTAATTCTTTTGCATAACAATGTCCCAGTTTTCCTACACACTATAAAAAGGGGCCTCAATCTCAGATCAGAGATGCAGTGAGAGCAATACAGCAAAACAGGACAATGGGGAAGGTAAGGCCGTTGAGTCTGTTGTGCATCTTTTGTGCCTCTGCTTACTTACAGTATGTGGAATCTTGAAAAGCCATTAATAGACTGATTTAACTCCAGTTTGTGCTTTAAAACATCATTTGCATTATAGACAATCGTGCCCACCCAGGCTATTAACAAGCAAACAAAAACCCAACCTTTTCAGATCATCTTCTACGAGGACAGGAACTTCCAGGGGCGCTCCCATGAGTGCAGCAGCGACTGCGCCGACCTGCACCCCTACTTCAGCCGCTGCAACTCCATTCAAGTGGAGAGCGGCTGCTGGATGGCGTACGAGCGCCCCAACTACATGGGCTACCAGTACTTCCTGCGCAGGGGCGAGTATCCCGACTACCAGCGCTGGATGGGCTACAACGACTGCATCAGGTCCTGTCGCATCATTCCTCCCGTAAGTTGCACTAAGGATTTGCTCTTTAATGTCTTGTGTTATCTTGGAAAGTATGGACAGCATAGGCCTGGTTCAGGGCTTGAATTCAATGTAAAACTAATTCTCTACTATACAGTATATAGTAAATAGACTACATGTATTTACTAAATATGATTTTATATATATACTCAGTATTTGAATATCAAGTATTCTTGAGAAGTTTAGGAGCCCGAGCTAAAGGGTAGTTGTTCATCTGTTCATCATCAAGAACTCTGTGTCTTTTTCTCCAGTACCAAGGCTCCTACAAGGTGAGGATCTACGAGCGCCCTGAATTTGGAGGCCAGATGATGGAGTTCATGGACGACTGTCCCAATGTCTACGACCGCTTCCGTTACCAAGACATCCACTCCTGCAATGTGATGGACGGCTACTGGCTCTTCTACGAGCAGCCCAACTACAGAGGCAGGCAGTACTTCATGAGGCCCGGAGAGTACAGGAGGTTCAGCGACTGGGGAGGCATGAGCCCCAGGATCGGCTCCTTCCGGCGCATCACTGACTTCAACTGAACAGAAAACAACAAACGCAGATAAAAGTGTGTAACATGGAAACAGAATAAAATATAATTTCTTCTCTGACAATGCCAAAACTGTGTATTTTATTAGTCATGGTTAAGAATTTGCTTGCACAGCCAAAAAACAAACATGACACAGTATAACCAGAAAAACAATCAATAACTTCCAATTGTTTTTTTTGATTTAATTAATTTAGTTAATTAAATTCTTAAGAAATAAATCCTCTGGGGGTTCATCCTGTCCTGTTTCAACTGCTCTGCCCCATAGTTCTCACTTGTGTCCTCTGATCTGTGTTCCACTGAAGAAGTGAAATGTGAGTCTGAAGAAATTTGCTCGAATGACCTTGTTAGAGTTCTTGAGGATTTTGAGAACATCTCCATTCACGAATAAAAAGGTTAAGTTCATTCATTAGCCGAATGGTTCAATAGTCCTTATCCTATCCTTGTCTGAATAGGTGTGTGAACTCTAATTCAGTAGCTAGTGGCACCTCCTTTAGCAGTAATGACTTCAAGCAGACCTTTGCTGTAACTGCCTGTCAGTTTCTTCCATTGGCTTGTAGCGATTTGTGACCATTCTTCCTCTCAGAACTGTTTCAGGGTTTCCATGCATGTGACGCTCACTCACTTCAGGTTTCGCAGTAACACAGGGGTTTAGGTCCAGCCTTTGAGTTGGCCTTTCCAAAAGTTTTTTTTTCTTTTTTGTGCTGTAGATCTGTGTGTATGTTCAGGATCACTGTTTTCCTGCGTGATACTCTTTGACTCAGGTTCAGCTGACCAGTGGATTCTCCAACAGAATGTGCTGATACAAAGAAGGTCTTCTTACACATTAATGTATTGGTAAGTATCATGCTTTTGCAATGGAGGCTACAGTTTTTTTTCTATTTTCCATTATTGCTGTAGTCCAGAGGACTTCAACCCTGCTCCTGGAAAGTCCCATTCCATCAGGTTTTACAGGTTGCGTTCTAAAGACTTGCAATAATTTCACTGCGACCAATTAATTAGGAGATTTGTTAATGCAAGCAATTCAGAGACAATCTGGGGCAAGACCATGAATTCTTCAGCCCTCCAGAATCAGGGTTCTGTTAATTGAACAAATAATTTGCTAAATTAATAAAAAATGTACAGACTCTGGACTGGGGCTCTTCAGGACCTGGGACGGAGACTCCTCCTGTAGTCTAACATCCTGAAACCTTATTAAATTACTTTATTTTCACTCCTCAGGGCAACAATTCTCCATTTCTGCACAGGCAGTCACTCAGGGTTTACTGCTTGCTCGCCACGTACAAGGAAATTGTGGCGTCCTTTTATCCGGCAGAGAGATATAAAAGCAATCCTTCCTACTGTCACCCTGAGCTTGACCCCAGACTGGACACCCCCCTGCTATAACTACTGACCAGCATCTTCACTTCTGGGTTACTGTTGAAGGAATTAACTAAAAGTTTTTACTAAAAGTTAGTATTATATCTTGTTGACTATGTATTTCTTTACTTATATTTTACTAACTCCGTCTCAGGATGTCTGGTATCTGAAGATAATATAGCCACACTGTATCCTTACGCATAGCTGGCATGGTTCTCAGGGAAATGACCAAGTGACCTATCCTGGAACAAATGATCTATTCAGCAGAAGGGGCTGCTTGTCATGCAAGCCGGCAGTAAAGAAAATATATGTACTGGTCAGCTTTCTCTTCTCTTTTCAGCATGGAATAAAGCTATTACTTGTTCCTTTCTAGAATGACCATATATAGCCACAATGTAAGCAGAGAGCCATGTGGGAGTGTATCTTGTATAGTTTGTTTCACTATTTAAAAGAGCACTCCAAGCATTCTCTGTTGAGTCTTGTGTCCAAGAGCAAGACTCCCATATGCATATGAAATAAAAACAACTTTCAACACACAAACTCTCGGCTGATGCCCTTTGTTTGGCACAACACTGCCTAAAGCACCATGTGGACTCCTTTTGACGAAAATACCCAAAGAGAATGTGTTAGATTGTTGTTTAATTTATTGTTTAATTCTCACAGATAAGAAATAATTGCTCTTTATTTAACAGAAGTCCGTGATGCGCCGGAAGGAGCCGATCCTGGGGCTCATGCCTCCCCAGTCGCTGAACCTCCTGTACTCTCCGGGCCTCATGAAGTACTGCCTGCCTCTGTAGTTGGGCTGCTCATAGAACAGCCAGTATCCATCCATCACATTGCAGGAGTGGATGTCATGGTAACGGAAGCGGTCATACACAGACTCGCAGTCATCCATGAACTCCATCATCTGGCCTCCGAAGCCTTCTCTCTCGTAGATCCTCATCCTGTAGGATCCTCTATGCTGTAGGAAAAAAATGATTTTTGTGTTTTTTGGTTAAAAAGCAATACTTTGCAATAGCTGACATAGTGAAGCCTTACCTTGCACTCAACTGTCTGAAATGTTCAGTCTAAAATGGCTTAATTAACCCTTGCTTTACTTATTTTGAATTTGTGCAAGAATGCTTTATTTTGGAATACTCTCATTTTTCTTTTCAAGTTAAATGCAAAGACATCTGTTGGTTTTGCATTCAGTATATTTTGCACATGTTGAATGTGCTGAAATTGGTAGTGCTACTGTGCTCGAATCAGAGATAGTGGTAATCTGAAAGTGACTAATTTTATGCTGCATCACATTAAATATTCAAGTCTCATAATCTTACATGGGGGATCATGCGACAGGACCTGATGGAGTCGTTGAAGCCCATCCAGCGCTGGTAGTCGGGATACTCGCCCCTGCGCAGGAAGTACTGGTAGCCCATGTAGTTGGGGCGCTCGTACACCATCCAGCAGCCGCTCTCCACTCGGATGGAGTTGCAGCGGCTGAAGTAGGAGTGCAGGTCAGCGCAGTCGCTGCTGCACTCATAGGAGCGCCCCCCGAAGTTCCTGTCCTCGTAGAAGATGATCTGTGAAAAAGAAAGAAACATTGTTGTCAAACTTTACCACTACATTGCACAACACTTTCCTTTGTAAAAACAACAGATTTTAAATTGAATATAGCATATTTTGTGACGACAAATTGATCAGGCTAAATTAGAGCACATTCAACAAAGAAAGACCCCAAAAAATGTTGGATGTTTTGAAGCAGAAAACATCAATTCATTCATTGTGTCCAACAGTATAATCTTTGTTGGGAGACTGTGATTAAATTCAACACAGTAGCTTAAATTTACTAGGTTGAAAAAATGATACATTTCTCCAGGCATTCATTTTGAGGGCAATATTAAGTGTGACTTGGCATAAGACAGCTGCCCATTTTTCAGTTATTACAGAGAAACACATTGAATTAGAAAGGTTTTTGGGCTGTCTCAGCCTGTGGGGTGTCACATGTTATTTACTCTATCAGCGTGCCATCTGCATTCTCAGTCATAATCACTAAAAAGTTACAGAGCTTAAGAAGCCTTTACACTTGGAAATAAGTTCAAGACACTACGTCAGACTCTTAGCTGAGACTGAGGAAAAACTACATTGCTTATTAATTGCAGTAATTTGGAAGAAGCAGATTTTGTTAACTGAACACATGTTCAGTTTTAAGAACATAAAGGAAATATCAGTTTCATGAAACCTTGAACAAAATTAAAGGTCTTGGTATACCTTTCTTGAAGGCTTAATTACAGTTCCTGCATCTAAAACTGACATTAATTAATCATTTTCTGTAGTTAAATTAAGTTCCAAATGTAAGAAGACTTGTGCAATGGACAAAAAACACACTTGTCTAATTCCGAAGGTAATGTCACTAAATCATTGCTCAATTCTGTCATTGATCAGTATCTAGACAGCAGTGTTCAGATTGTGCAGGAGCTAGTTGAATTACTACATGAGACCACAGTCTGGCCTGGTGCTACAGAACACGAGGCCATGCTCCTCTTACCTTCCCCATGGTGTCCTGGATGACAGATGCCCTGTGGCTCACACTGCCCTGCCACCACATTTATACCCCACTTATACCGCAAGGGGCCTGTGTCCCCATTGTGAGGAAGCCCTGACTCATCAGCACAGCAGAGAGCTGCACCTCTTGTCACAGCAGGTTCCAAAGGGAGATAATCGGGCGTTGTTCGTGTTTGTGGGGTCAGTTGGCCATTTTTATATTGTTCTCCTTGAACATGCAGAAAAAAGAGAAAATTCTCTGCTCTGAAAACAGCTGAGATATCTAGCAAATTTAGCACACAAATCCTTAACAAATCATTTGCATCAGTTTCAATGATACTGTGCCGCAAATAGGATTAAAGCAGGAATGCTGCTTAATCATTGCATTTACTTTTGACTTTGCTTTTTATTTTTTAAAAATCCAAACCATCATAATAAGCTTTCGTTTCTAGATGGAGTGAGGAAAGGGATCAAGTAGAGGAAAAGTGAGACTGAAAGCAAATTTTCAAGATAATCATGTAGGATTTTGGTTTCCTATGAATGACACCAATTATTTTTGCTGCTTTTCCCTGTAGTTCCCTTAAGTAAATATTATGTATATATTAATTATATTTTATACATAATTTATAAAGCCCTGAAAAACAGGTTTAGAGAAAGGAAAATAAGAATGAGAGGTGTGGTCCATTGTTGTAGATTTTTCACCAAAACAAAACCCTGAATGAATATGGCAAACAGCTTTAACATAAAGACGTGGAGCTACAGAGGGCATGGTATCAAACTTAGAATAAGCAGGCTGTAGGCTTAGTGACCGAAGGGGGCAAACAAAATTGCTACACATTTACACAGGGTTGCAAATCTTCACACATACTGTATCCTGCTCTCCAGCTCGTCTCAGTCTCAAAACTCACACCTCACATTGCACATCCCACACTGAGCTGCTCTTTCACCCTTGGAAACACAATTCTTCTCTTTGTTTCAGTTTGTACAATTTGTCAAACATTTTGGCAATGCCAATGTCTACTAAGGCAGTTGATACAGTTCCTTTGATAAAAGATAATGAAATGAGCAGACATCCCAATATAATTGAATGTTACCTTTTTGATAGTACAGTACTGCTGATTATTTTAAGGATGACACTGGGACTTATTCAGCTGCTGTGAATGAAAAACATTGGTCCCCTATTTGATCTCACA